TGCTGACTGAAGTTTTTACTCCCTGAAACAGATACCTTTCCTACCCCCTGAAATAGACAAAGTTTTTAGGATAGAGAGACACAGAATGGAAGAAGTAAGTGTATAGTCATGTGGACCCTGAAAAAGGAGAAACCCAGATCCTCATAACACGCTCCAGATAGGTTTAGGGTATATGAGGATGGAGGGGACTAATGGTCTCCTTTCTAAAGTACTTTAGAGATGGCAACTGTAATCCAGGCAAAAAATGGTATGAATGTATGCTGGTAGGTTAGGCTTGGTCAAGTCTGAAGAAAAGGCACTGGAATAATTTTTGTGTTTCACTGCAATTGCAGGAGTATCTTAAAAAAAAAAAAAAAAACCCAGACCTGAAGATCCTGTGGTTAAGAAAATCAACCTACAGGAGTAATACAATTTTGCTAATTATATGTTGGTGAAATCTTTAATAATCTTGTATGTTTTCATATCAATATTTTATTGTCTAAGAAAAACAATAGCATATACTAGTTATTTATCAGTTAAATAATCAAACAAAAACCCAAGAAAAGTAATTTTTCCCCCATCATTTATACATTGCAGTGTCCTAAAATAAGAAGCATTTTAGAAAAGTTGCCTATTGCCTTTTTAAATGTATAACTCTGGCTACATATAGTCCTCTACTGAAATCACCCATCAAGAATTGGAGTCATCCCAGAAACTAATTTTCTCTTATTCTAAACAGAAATGTATCTGTAACTTTCCATAGTTTCAGGAAGTCAAGAAAAACCAGATGACATAAAATAGTAATTTACCAGGTAAACTCTGCTAAACAATTCACCTTAAACACATTATAGATTATTGTGGAATATACTATAAAGCCTACTTCACAGGGCCTGGTTTTCCAAAGCCTTGCAGTTTCAAATATTAACCTTGCGGAGAACAGGAAATTTTCCTCAGGATATAAGTCTCTGGTATGAGATAAAGATTTGTGGCACAGCAGGTTGCTGGCTCAAAGACAGACTAGTTACTGATTTTATGTAAAGATACTGAGAAATTGCTGTTAAGAAGGAATCTTTGTTAAGATCAAGCTGTTGTTGATAGGACCACTTAATTGCCTTACTGGAATGTCATCTGACTTGTTTCACTGAAAGTCACCAGCCTATATTGCTAAACTATAACCCCACCTTTGTTCTCTTCCTGTAACTTCCTGGTCTGGAAAATAAATGCAGGAAGAGAACCCCAATTTGGCGTTAATTTCCAAGGAAGGGATCCCTCTCTTGAGGATTCCAGGGGGAGATTAACCATGTTGGGGCCTCTCACTGCTCAAAAGAGATGGGCTTTGAGTAATTCTTTGTGTCTCCATCACCCAGGGGAAGTAGGGTGACAAATCCATGGGGGTCAAAGCAACACAAAGCAACAGATTATAACTCTAGGCAACTCAAAAGAATAAAAAAAAAGGAACTCATGGGAACAAATACAATCTGAAAATATAATGGTGGCAAAGCTTAAATGAACACAGGTGCCTATGGTTTTCTCCATGATCTCCAGGATTAGATAAACTAACTTTGATCCCCTTCTGTTGTTATATATTTCTAATGACTGCAAGAAGTACAAATAGCTCCACTATATGGTAGACCAATGTGTGATTGCCAAAGATTGTATTTTAATCTTACCAAATGAACTTGTAAATAAACTTTAATTCAAAGTTTATATTTTTCCACATTTTTTCCATAAGCTTTAGGACACTATTTTTTTAACAAGGAAATTTGATATCTACTATAACCTGGTAAAATCAGAGTCATGATCATCAATCACACATTTCTTTTATAGAACATAGTTATAACTGTAAATAAAATTTGAATTAAAATACATATTAAAGTAAAATTAAATCATTTCTTAATTAAGTACTCATATTCATCTATATTATTCATGGACTTATGGAAACATGCTATAAGATTCTTTATGTTTTATTTATTTTCCCCAAAGCAAAAACCATAATTCTTTTTTTTTTAGATAAAGTTCAAGGTTTTAAAGTGTATAATTGGTATTTTTTTAGAGTATTCATGACATTGTGTGCCTACCTCCACTACCTAGAACATTTCCATCACCCCAAAAGGAAACCTCATACTTGTTAACAATTGTTCCCAATTCCGTTCCTCCCCTGATCTGCTGAAAACCACTAATCTACTTTCCGTCTCTATGGACTTGCCTCTTCTGGACATTTCATTTAAATAATGGGACCATATAATATGTGATCTTCTGTGTCTGGCTTCTTTGACTAAGCACAATGTTTTTAAGATTCATTTATGTTGTAGCATGAATCAGCATTTCACTCATTTTTATGGCTGAATTATACACATAGTCCCCAATTTATGACGGTTCAACTTAGGATTTTTCAACTTTATGATGTAGCAAAATGCATTCACTAGAAACCATACTTCAAATTTTGAATTTTGATCTTTTCCCAGCCTAGCAATATGTGGTAAAATACTCTCTGGTGATGAGGGTCAGCGGTGGTGAGCCCGGTCAGCCATGTAATCACAAAGCTAAACAACCAATAATCTGCAGTGTACTGTGTTACCAGATGATTTTGCCCAACTGTAGGTTATTGTAAGTGTTCTGAGCATGTTTAGGATAGGCTGGGCTAAGCTATGGTGTTCAGTAGGTTAGGTGTATTAAACGCCTACTTAGCTTACAATATTTTCAACTTACAAGGGGTTTATTGGGACATAATCCCATCATAAGTCAAGGAGCACCTGTATTCCACTATATGGATGTACCACATTTTGTTTATACATTGATTGGTTGATGGACATTTAGGCTGTTCCCACATTTTTACTATTATGAATACTGCTGCCATTAGCGTTCGTGTACAAGATTTTGTGTGGACCAATGTTATCAATTCTTTGTAGTATATGCCTGGGAATGAAATTGCTTGGTCATGTGGTAACTGTATGTTCAACTTTTGAGGAACTGCCGAACTGTTTTCCAAATCGGCTGCACCATTTTACATTCCCACCAGTAATGGTGTTCAGATTTCTACACATCCTCGCTAACACTAATTGTTTTCTGAGTTATTATTTATTTTTCATTAAAGCCATTCTAGTGGGCATGAAGTAGCATCTCATTGTGATTTTTATTTGCACTTCTCTAATGAACAATGATGTTGACCATATTTTCGTGTGCTTTTTTTTGGAGGGGGGAGGGTCATTTCTATATCTTCTTTGGAGAAATATCTATTCAAATCTTTTGCCCATTTTATAATAGGGTTATTTGCCTTCTTATTGTTATGCTGTGAGACTTGGGTTGTTTGCCTTTTTGTTGATGAGTTTAAGTGTTCTTTATATACTCTGGACACTAAACCTTTATCAGATATATGATTTGCAAGTGTTTTTTTTTCCAATTCAGTGGTTTGTCTTTTCACTTTCTTGGTGTTCTCTGAAGCACGAAAGGTTTTAATTTTGATGAGGTCCAAGTTATTTTCTCTTTGGCAACTTGCACTTTTGGTGTCATATTTAAGAAACTGTTGACTGATCCAAGGTCATGAAGATTTACACCTACATCTTCTTCTAAGTGTTTTATAGTTTCGGCTCTTATACTTACATTTTTAATGCATTAAAACCATAATTCTTTAAAGCTAAGAATTTCAATTGCAAGGGTTCGGATCTCCAGAGCAGCCAGCTTAATTTTTTGACCATCAAAAGTTCAAGGATTCAGATTAGAGAATGTTTTCACTGAGAGCTCCACAGGAGGTGGGGGACAACCTCCGTGCAAATATGGTCACCCTAAGGTTCTTTTTAAAGTGTTTTATTTGTCATGTAGATTTTCTATTTTTCTACTTTCCTTTCCCTCTTTCTCTTGCTCTATGTAGATGTATATGCTTCTTTCTGACTAGCTCCGTCATTTTAACCATTCAAACTCTGTTCAGAGACAAAAAAAAAATTAAAAAAAAAAAACACTTTGAGAAGATAGCTTCAAGCTTTTATTTTCTTCCTTGAGCGAAACAATTTTTTTTCAACATACCATGATTAAGAATACACTCTTATTTTATTTATTTTACACCTAAGAAACAAATGCCATTTAAAGCCATTTTTTTTTTTACTATACTCATTTTGTAAAGTAACTCAATGATTGTTTGTATGTGTATATTTGTAAGTGAAGCATGTTTCTCAGCATGTGATATTCTGACATCTGGTATAAGAATTATCTGTGTACTTTTCTAAAATGCTGATGTCTGTGATGGTCCCCATTGAAAAGTGCTTATTTGGAGATGGAACACAGGAATCTGAAACTTTAGGATGAAGATCAGGTGATCTTTTATATGCACTACTATTTGACAACTAATGAACTTTTATGACTTTTTTTTTACATCTACTTTTAAAGTGTACCTTAAAAATTACTAGAATCTCAAAATGTTAAAGATGCCATGCTCTCTCAGGCAATCATCTGGCACAGGGTATTATTATAAATGAGATAACAAATCCACAAAGGTTAACAAAGTCCCCGAGGTCACAGAGCTTGAAAACTGTTTGAGCTAGAACATAACCTCAATTCCATATGACTGAAGCTGATATCATCCCTGAGTCTTGGGTTTGCAGCCTAAACCAAACTAATTATTTGTGAAGCCTACAAACTCAACCTTTCAGAGTCAGTTTTTTATAATCTAATTTTTTTAATTGAAGAATTTGGGCAAAGTTATTATCCCTGGTGCTGTAGAATTTGGACTAAACCGTAGTAGAGAAGTTGTGACCTAGATGAAGTTGCAGCACTAATGGCAGACTCAAACAGCCACATTCTTTGAACTCATACTTAGTGCCTCTTTCAAATTTGTCTCCTAGTTAGAAAATATAGTTATTTCTCAAGTCTTCATAAATACTTCATATTAAAAAAACTTATGTTCTGGGTCTGGTACCACTGTGTTACTATAAATTATTGCCAAACAATACTATAGGTATAATATAAGAATCAGTAGCTACATGTAGACTGAGCATAGTAGGCAACCATAAGTCATCTCTATCCCTTACCTTTACTATCACTGTGACAGTAGCAATACCAGGTGGCATTGTTCCATAAATATCAAAGGCCTCCACCAGAAAAGTGATACTTGCTTCCTGGTCTGGAAAAGCCTCATAATCCAAGCTCCTTAAAAGGGATAGCTCTCCTGTAAATGGATGCAGTGCAAAAAAATGCTTCACTTCTGGGCTTCTGATCCTATAAGACACATTTGCTCCAAGGTCAACATCTTTGGCCTGTAAAAAGTTAAGCAGAAGAGTGGTTACATCAGTGATGTTACCAAAATAGAGAAAGGCAGGACTGATGGATGTCATGTGTCAGTGGCTTGGACAGCATGCATTTAACGATGACCAAAAGACAAAAGTGCTTATAGAAAAGCACATTTGTTATATAATTTACTGGGGAGGAGAGAAAAAGAGAAATTTATTCATGAGATTTTGTCAATGTTGATCTTATTACTGGCATCTATTTTTCTTGAAAAATCACAGATTAAATGAATCATACCACAGTAAAGAAATAAATATTGTTATAAATGATTGTTTATTATTTTCTGTTGATTTAATAATCATGAAAATAATATTTTAAATAAAAATATATATTATTGAGTGATTTCTATAAACATAACAGAATGCTAAAGGTCTATAAGAAAAGTAAGGAAATGTAAGTAGCAATTCTTTCTCATAGGAATTTTATAATATATTCCTAGAGATTACTATTTTGCTTTCCTTCATTTAACTAATATTTGAGTAATTATTATGCACAAGGTGCCATAGACAGCACCAAGATGAATCAAGACACAATTCCTGCTCTCCGATTATGGTCTCAAAAATGAAATGACACAAATCTTAAAAGAAAAAAAGAAAGGAAAAAAGTTCTATGTTATCTAAAAGGTGTTATAAATCGGGAGCGACATTCTTTAGCTGAAAGGACAGGTTTTCATGAAGGTCTTGTAGGACGGCTGTTTCATTCACTAGTAAAGACTGGCAAAAGCACCGCAGAAAGAGGAGATGGAATGAAGCAAGAGTGAAAATGGGGAGGATAAGGATGTGTCAGATTGTACATTCATTAATGCAAAATCTTTGTGAACTTCAGTTTTGGCTTCCTTCAATCAATGTCAATGTGATGTCAATACATCACAACCAGAAATATACTGTTAAAGCATACATTTTACTATGTCATTTTCCTGTCTCAAATCCTTATTGTTTTCTGTTCCATTTTTTGGCAACCCTGATCTCCTCAGCTTGCTGAGAGGGACTACCCTATTTTCTAGCCTTTCAGCCCCTCACCTCCCCCGCTCTCCTCTCCTACAGGATTTTGAGTGGATTTTTATTACTGCCTTGAATAATCTTTCTCCCCTCTATGCCTGAATACCTCTTATTTGCTCCCCAGGTCACAATTCAGAAATACTTTCTTCGGCAAATGTTCTTTGCTCTCAGATTAGGTTAGGAGCTTCACTGTGATATCCAAGGACCCTGTAATGAAGACTTCTATTTTAATTACTAAATTTTCTGTTTGCTAAACCAGACTGAAAACTCTAATAAGGCAACAATTTTTTCTTGTTCACGTTTGCATCCCTAAAGTCTAACAGAGGACTTGTAATACAGTAGACACTGAAGATATACTTGCCAAATAAGTGAATTAATTAATTGATAGATGGATGGATTAATGGAGAAATAAGTGGTCCTTTCCCTGGTCAATATTGCCTTATTTTGATTTATGAATGTTTATTACCTAAGTAAATAATTGTTGAGTTGAATTTTGGAAGTAATACAGATTCTTGAAAATTAAAGTTGTGTATTGCAAGTGGAAGAAAAACTAATTTTTTTTTTCAAAAAATATACTTCATAGACTACCTGTGCCAAAATTAAATGGAGTTGTTGCTAAAAAAATGCTGATTTATGGGCCAATCTAACCTACTAAATCAAAATGTCTATAGTATCTGGTAATTTGTAGTTGACAACCAAAATAAACACAAAAAAAATCTTGGCCATGGAGATACTATTAAAAAGGAGAATCAGACCCCTGGAAG